TGTATATTACTGTAAACTAGGTCACACTAGCCGCTCCTCATTCCCCTCTCCTCACATGTATAAATATTTCCATCTCCTCAGCAACTGCTCCTGCTGTTCGACTTTATTCTTTAGCTGTTTGCTTAGTCCAGAGTTTGATAGATTATGCGTATGTTTTTGTTACTGTGGTAGTTTCTTTGTGTACTTCTTTGCTTGTCAATGTACCCTTTGCAGATACATATGATATTCATGCATTCTTATCTTTAGCAGTAAGATGTTTTCAGTGCTCTGTGTGTGTGTATATGTTGTGTGAATTTGCACATATAAATGTATAAGACGACAGCAAATTCAGAATGAAAAAACATTTGAGAAGAAGAAAGGCTCTGCTCGACCTGGAGGATATGCACTCACTCAGATATCTTTATAATGGTTTATCAGGGCACTTAAGGTGCTGACATTCATTCTGGATTATTTATGAGCTGCCATATTAGGCTGAAAAGAGCTGCTCTTTGTGTTAATTAATCTGTGATTCAGCTTGAAGGTGGACTTTTTTGGAGAGAAAAGCCACCACAGACAAAAATAGAAAAGGGTCATCCTTTCAAAAACTATCACAGAAAATGAAGCTAGTTGCAGGCAGATTGTTAAATCCGAGTGGTGGTTTTGAAGCATGTAGAATATATAGTTTTCAAGAGAAGTGCAACTGGAAATACTGAATTATGCAAGGAGAGTGATTTGTGTAGTCACAGCCTTACATTATAGATGTTCACTGGTACATCTGGACCAGCTGATAATTTTGACACTGCAAGGTCAGTGTGCACCAGCAAGAAAAAACACACACATGTAGAAATTGTGGCCTTGTGACAGTTTTGCTCCAGGCAGTACATTGCTCCAGGCAGATTACACACAGTTACGAGACAGGCTTATGTTGGGCTGAGGGAGTCTCCACCATGGACACATTAAAACCTCAGACTTTAGGAAGGAAAATAATTGAATCATGGGTTTCAAGATCCATGACATCACACCATGGCACTTGGATTGGTACTCTATCTAAGTAAATACTCTATGTCCGTCATGAGCAGCACCGTAAATTCCAATAAAGCCCTTCATGAAAATGATATTTTGTTATTTTAAAGGGTTTCTTAGTAATATGTAAGCCCCCCCAAAATACATTTATTCATTTATCCATCACTTTCTGCTGACTGTTGCAGCAGGCTAATTAAGGCAGTCCAGGCATCTCTCATCCCAGCAATGTCCTCCAGTTCCTCCTGGCGATCCTGAGGCATTCCCAAGCCTAGATATATGATATCTCCAGTGTGACCCTGGGGTCTCCCACTACTTGAACGTGCCCAAAAAAAAAAACTTCTGGAGGGCATCCAGAAGGCATCCTGATTAGCTGCTCAAACCACCTCAACTGGCTTCTTTTGATGCAAAGGAGTAGCAGTTATGTCTCCTCACCCTGTCTGTAAGGGCGAACTCAGCCACCCTACACAGGAAGCTAATTTTGGCCACTCCTATCTGCGTACTCATTCTTTCCATCACTACCCAAAGTTCATAAAGGCTGAAATGTAGATTGACGGTGAATCCTAAGCTTTCCCTTAATTAATTCTTAATTCACTCTTCACCCTGATGGTCTGGTACAACGCATTACTTCTAATACTAAGCCACTCTGCCTTTCACCCTTATGCTTCATTTTACCTTCAGTTGTGACCAAGACCCCAAGATGCTTGAAGCAGTTCACTATTTTCTGGCAGAGAACCATGGGCGTAGTCTAGAAGGTGCTCTTCCCAATTGCTTCACATCCAACTATAAACTAGCCCAGTGCGTGCTGAAGGTCACAGTCTAATGAAACCAAAAGTACCACACTGTCTGCAAAAACAGCCTCCCTTCCCCCAAGATCAAGAGCAGAATCTGCATGATGGTGGCACCCGTGTCGGCTGTGGCCGCTTTGGCTCACAAGAGTTTCGCCAAACTAGCTCTAAATACAGCACCAAAACCAGTGAAATCCGTAACAACAGCACAGCAGGACATCGCTAAACACATCTACGACCATTGGTTTGTGTTGACACTGCGTGGATCCAGCAGTTTTGGGTCAGTAAACAAGCGCTAACCACTCTACATAACCTCGGATTGCTACCAATGGTGTATTTGTTGAATGACAATAAAGCAAGTGTAAGTCTAAGTTTAAGAGGAGAATTAGCAACAAGGGGCAACCCTTACAGAGTCACCAAGAACACCAAATGAGACAACCTGGTCTCACTCCAAAATTGTCAAAAGCCGGCATTTGGGCAGTGACTTCAGGCATCAGACACCAACAAAATATGCTGTCCTTTTACGTTGGCATGATACGCGGCTGGTTGCCTTTGTTGTTTAATGGCACCCATTGGCGTTGGGGGAAACGCAGCGGGACAACAAAACTTAAGACAGTGGAAGTCCGAGTAGGGCAAGTGGGAGGGATGGTGGATGGGTCCAACAACCACCGACTTTCACCCATGAGGCAGGTGTTTGCTTCCAGTAAGATTGTAAAGCCAAACCCTCTTCTCTTTTCAAAAATACAACCACATGCGTGTATTGGCTAAGCGTAATCACATGCATTTGTTGTTGAAGGAAAGAAGACAACTCTTTGTGGTGTTATACCAATGTAGCGCATTTATTTTGGAAGAGACAGTATGCAAACTGTACATTTCCTGTGAAAACAGAAGTGTATTTTAAAAATAGACAATGCCTGAAGTTGACACGGCTTCCCAGACTGTCAACAACCAACTCACCAAGGGTACCTTACACGCCATATCTCAACATGGAAAGTCCGTGACCAAACGTAGATATGTGACGAGGTCAGAGTGACAATGTGTTGAATGAGAACATGTTTGACTTTATGTTGAGAATATTTTGCTCGTAGGACAAGCTGGCTCATAGCAACAGGCCATTCCCCCACAGTACCTACCTCAGGACTCCCCGGCGCCCCCCTAATATAATGGTAGGGGAAACACTGCTTTCACCAGGAGGCCAGTGTTTTCCTCCTGTAAGATTGTAAAGCCAAACCCTGTTCTTTTTTCCTAAACGCAACCATGTGTGTGGTTGGCTAAACGTAACCACGTGCGTTTGTTGTTGAAGGAAAAAATGTCAATTTGTGATGTTGTACTGATGTAGTGCATTTATTTTGAAAGAGACTGTATGCAAACTGTACATTTCCTGTGAAAACAGAAGTGTATTTTGTAAACAGACAATGCATGTAACAGGCTGAACTTGACACGACATCCCAGAACATGAGCAACAAACACATGCAGGGTACCTTGCACATCCTATCTCGACATGGAAAGTCCATGACCAAACATCAATATGTGACAAGGTCAGAGTGAGAATGTGTTGCTAGAACACATTGAGGGTGTTTCCTTTAATTTTGTGCATAGGTCCACTTGAACTCAGTAATGAAATTATTACATTAGGTGGTCAAAGGTCAAGATTTAAGGGCAGTGTGACCTTACAAAATATGTTTTTGCCATAATTTAAGAATTCATGTGCCAATTATTACAAAACTTGACACAAATGTCTAATAGGATAAAATGGTGAAGTGATGACATTTTATATCCAAAAGGTCAAAGGTCAACTTCACTGTGATATCATAATGTTCTGCAAAAACACCTTTCTGGCCATTACTTAACGTCATAGCTTTGCAACAGCAGGGGAGACATTTGGTCAAATACTGAATTGGTGACACTAATCTTGGGTGTCCACCTTGAAACTGTGCTGATTGTATAGATCTTCTGTGTGTGAAGCAGCCATTTTTTCACAGACATGGATGTAAACTTTGAGTTTGACTTGACTGGTTTGTGAAGACATGCAACTACAAGGTGGTAGTTTTGCCGCTTAAATGTCCAACGATATTTCCTGCAGTGACTTTACCTCTACATTACTTTCAGCAGAAAACTGCTCACTTTGCCTATTCAGACTGGTAGAATTCATGGTATGCCCAGAACACACCTATGATTAATTAATGGACTAAACGTAACCTTTTGCCTCTTATGTGGTAAGTAAATTGCACACAAGAGTACAATTTAGTTATTCAAGGCCATTACCTGCTCATTTCAGTAAGCAAATTAGGTGATTTGGGGACACAAATTATTTCAGGGGTACAAATGATTAATTCAAGGGAGCAGTTCACAATATTACTAATTACAAAAAGTTACCCTTTATGCCTGCTATGCTTTGTGGCATTGCATAACTTTTCAGTGAATTTGCTTAATAATTATGCTACATTTGCCTTATTTATAGTAAAGAGCATTTCCTCTGCAAAGCAAAACTTTTTAAAGAGTGAAGCACAGTGCCTGAGTAGAGACCTTTACAATGTGAGTTTTCAAGATACTACTTCTCTGACACCATCTAACAACCTGTCAGTGTCACATCTAAAATTAATAGTTTCTGGCTAATTCTCACTGATTTATGAGCACAGACAAACCTAAATTATTGATCATTTTTAATCATCATTTCCTCATTTTGTTCTAGTTAAAAGGTCTCTCAGCAATAATTACATAACATTATTGCACAAGAGAGAAATACTGATTTTAGCTGATTTATTAACCCTATGTTTTGTTGCTATTTGGTGCCAGTTTTTGGATGACACTATGATAATATTTTGCACATGAGCTCAGTTGCAGGGTGAGTCAGGATGAATCTATGTGTACTTGTCCTTAGTCCTCAGATTGTTTGTACAGCTGCAGAGCTTATTAGTCCTGGCTGTGTCTGGCATGTTCTCTTGAAAGATGTTTTGATACATCACAACAGGTAGCTATCAGTGTTGTTGTATTCTTTTTCTCAATCAGTTTTCACTGATGTTTTTGTGGATTATAGCACATGGCCAGTTTTGACAGCAGGGGGAAAAATAGGAAGACATCAACACAGAGACTCTAAGATCCAATTCACTCATTCAGGGAAGAATCAATCAGGGTCATTCTAATCGTCAGTGATGGAGTCCCAACCCCTCCCCTCCTCCTCCCACTCCTCCCCCACCCTCCCCTGTCTCTCAGGGTTCCCTGATTATGGGTTGTATTCCGGGGCCAGCGGTGACATGCGGGGAGGAGCGCCCTACTCCCTGGCCGACTATGGCTCCCTGGGCACCCAGGCGGCTGCTCAAATCCTGCCCAGTGAGCATGCCAGCTCGGCCTGCAACTCTCCCACCTCCCTCCAGCACCATCTGCACAGCCCGGACCCTTTTAAGAGCCCAGGTGTGTATCTCCATGTCTCTGCTCCTCCCGCACATGCATGTAGAGTTACAGACAACACAAATCATTTATAATTTGAGAAAGAGACAGAAGTGTGGAGGGTAATAATAAAGCAGTTAAGCATGACACTGTGTGGCAGTGCTGGCAGTTTGCCTGGAATGCAGTGCATGCTTTTTGTAGCACTGCCTTTGGAGAATTGTTCATTTGATTTCTGTTACACTGTCATTATTACTTGTTTTCCCAGGTAATATGTTTGGAGTGTTGTCAAACTGGTAGATTTCTTGTTTCTGAGCTGTACCGGGACTGGATATCAAACTGATAAATACTACCCTATGTAGTGAAAAGCTAAGCTATCAGGATGCATCTCTTGTTTTGTTTGTATGTTGTTTTTTTATTGAGTTTTTGCAAGTTTTGATATTCCAGGATAGGAGCACTTAAAGGGCCAGTGTGTAATATTTGGCATGGTTTATTGTCAAATCTGAATCTGAATCTGAATATTCTGCCCATTAATATGTTTATACAAGTGTATAATCGCTATAAAATAAAATTCATTTGGTTTTCGTAGCCTTATAATTATGCTTTTATATATATATATATATAGAGCAAGGGCCTTGCTTTAGAGAGGTCGCCATCTTGCACCGCCATGTATGTACGGCAGACCGAGCGGACAATCCAGTCAGCCAGAGAACGCGTTTCGCGTGTATAAATAAACCAACGAAGACAGCGGAAGGAAGGAAGAAGGAGGAGGAAACAGCAGAGAGTGTTAGTAGTTCGTCCATAGAGAGTAGTGAAAAGTTTTTTTAGTTATAAAGTTTGTGAATGGACCACACTTACCACGCAACAGGAGAGAATGAACCCGAACCGTCATCTGCGAGGAAAAGAAGTCGCAACTTCCCTCCTTGTGATGCACTCTCTGCGGCGCTTTTCCTCCTGATGATATATCTCCCCAAATCCCATTCTGTGCAGCAAAATGGGAGCGGAGGATTCAGCCTCTCTTCTCGCCCGCTCAGCATCTAACACATGGAGTTCCTCATCTGTATGCTCCAGCTCAAACAGGTATGGCTCTGGATCTGTGTCCGCTACAAGAAACTCTTCAAAATCGCGTTCAAAGTCGTCCATTGCAGCTACTATAGTCCGGAGATATTGCAAGGCTAAATAAACAGCTGAGTTTTGTTTACAGGCTACGTCTGTGCCTGCTCACCGGTGTATTCCTCCGCAGATCACAGCGCAGGACGTACTGAAAATTTTAGTCTTATGTCAATAACAGACAATAGGATAGCAGTAACGTTACTCCTATGTACCCTGCTGATTGGATTCAGTACAGCTAAAACCACCGTTTATTACTGAACAGTACAGTTTACTGTTGGCCGTAACTACGCCAAAACAACCAACAAACAAGAACTGTAACTCCAACTGTGTACTCCTGCTCTCTCCTCCAGCTCGCTCATACACACACCAGCAAGCGCACTCACACAGCCCTTGTCCCCGTCACACTCGCACCCCGCCCCCCTACCTATACTCATTCAATCCCAAACATGCCATCAACTCACAGAACATTGACATTATAACAGAACATTTACTGCAGGGTTGCTACAATATTGTAGCAACCCAGTGGTGAGTGTGGTAAGCTGTCAGTCAGGGTGCGGGCTGGAGATTGGTGGAGCAGAGAGGGGAGGGCTGCCCCGCTGGGTACTGTAAGTGAGTATGTGTGTATGAAGTGTGTGTGTTACACTAGAAGAGTCAGAGTTTGGGACGGAGTCTTTTACGTGCTACCCCCTGGAGTGTTACCGGGGTTTTTGTAGTGCTCAAATAAACTGGCCTCTTTCCCGAACGCTACTCTGGTCTCCTGCTCGTGAGTGATTCATTACAATATCGTAACATGGTTTAGATTTCTAAATAAATATTCACTTCGTTGCTAGATAGACCTACTCCTGAAAAACTCGTGTCTGCACAAGGCTTTTGGTCCTACGAGGCCACCGTCATCTACATGACAGGAGGGTTGAGCGAGTGAGCCCTGCAATGTAGAATTTGACCACTGATGTCACTGTTTTCAACCCATTTTACACACTGGCCCTTTAATAGAAGAAGGAGAATTTGAAGCAGAGGTGCCCCTAAAGGGGGGCCAGGGGAGGCATGGCCACCCTAAAAAAATAGCTGGTCTCTTCACTGGCCCCTCCTGGGGAAAATATTTCGAGGCTGACATTATCTTGTGAAACTTGAGGCATCCAATGATGCCAACAATGGCAGCATAGCTTGTTAGGAAGGGGTCTAAATAACGGTCAAAAGTTAAGTTACATTTTGGCAAAGGAACAATTTCCAAGGGGTCTTTGAACTCTATGGGTACCCACAAGTCTCCCCTGAATGTAAGAAGGCTTGTTCCCAATGAATAGTGTTCAATGTACTCCTTCAAATTAATGCTGTATATTTGTCTTTTTATGGAAAATGACCAACTGCCCATTTGAAGAACAATGAATCACCTAACAAATGCAGATACAGATGTGTAACAAATTGTTGTGGAACTGAAAATGTTAACTGTACTGGCATTAGTCTTTGAACATCAGATTATTAGTAATATTACCATTAAAATTAGAAACCAAAGCATATCAACACGGGATCCCGTAGCTCTCATATTGACATAGTTCTCAAAAGGTCTACTTAAACAGCATAATGAAATTCAGATATGGCTTTTGGTTTTGGTGTGCCACCCCAACATTTCCAGTGGCCCCATTTGGCTACCTCTATGAAACATTTCTGGGGGTACTGCTGTGAAAATCTGCAGCAGTGGAACCACCAGTGGAAGCATTTAATATCTATGATTTTTGAGAACCAGGACCCAGGTTGTACCTGCTTCTAATATAGTAGGCTCCTCATTACTTAACTTGCCAGATAACACCATTTATCTAAACATCCTATGTCTCCTCTGATGTTTTCTGTTGAAAGTCATAAGATTGCCCCTGAAAGTTTAAGATTGGAATCATAATTTAGAAACCCAGTAGATGACTGAGATTACTGAAGTAATCTTCTATTGATTTATTCATTTTTCTTGTGATTCAGTGTTCAGTGTACTTCTGGAGATGTTTCAGTCCCCAGATTAAGCTGCAGAGTGAGCACTTCTCACTTTCACACTGCTCAGTGCTACAGGCAGCTGTGGACTCAGACTCACCCTGGGTCTGGGTCCACAGCTGAGACAGAGGTAGCTGCAGGTAGCTTTGCCTTGTCAGGCTCTGGGATGACATTATCTTCTGCCTTCCACTTAGAAGTGGTGAATTTACAGCTCCCAGCAACTGAATACGATACAGTCTCTGGCTTTTGTTTGATATGTAGTGTTGGCAAAAATGTTGTTGCACATTTCCAATCCGTCGTTAGTGTAGTTAGCACACATTAGTTCAGAGAGGTTACTTGGCTTGTTTACTGTATTACGTGAATGCCACTGGTCACCCTGCATACTCCACCAAGTTCTGTTCTAACTCTATATGGGGTAACAAAATAACAAGTAGTGAATATTTGTATTCCAAATCCAATTTGACTGACATAATTTTGAGTCAGGTTCAGCCCTAGAAAGTAGTAAGCTGTGTTTACCTTAACTATGAAAGGTTTTGGAAGAAATCAACTTCTCTGGCTCTGATTCGTTGCACTCAGAATGCTTTGTTACCCATGCATAAGGTAACTCCTTTTGGTGTTGCACCTTATTGCAAGTACTGCAATATTGACTGATTTTTTCGACTGATTTATTCTTATTCATATTATATTTAGTGAGTCATTTCATGATATGTCATTAGATTCTATCTAAGTCATAATTATTATCATACTGTATATTGCTTACTGTAATCATCCTTTTGCACCGGCATGACCCCTTAACATTTTCCAGACATTATAATGGCAGAGTGCCTTAACTTCAGAATAAGGGTCAATGGTTTGAGCTCAAGATTTTGATATTAAAAAAAGAAAAGAAAAGAATTGCCACATTTCCAGTATTATGCCAACAGCTTTAAAGTTAATTTTCTCAGCCCTACACTCTGCTGAGTTTAGGTATTTTGCCTTTGTAGGGCAGAATAGAGCTGCTGCTTGTAGCTAAAAAGTCATAAAGTACTCCTGAGGTCTGAGGTTACTTGGTACACCTTGCTAAATCAAGTGTAATTTAATACAACAGCACTCAGTAAATCCTACCATTGCGATGGCATCACATTGTATTCCGGTTTTGTTGAATTAGTCAAATAGGAGTTGGCTGAATGATGAAACATATACAGTATATTCATTTTTTATTGTTTTTACTTCCTATCTAAGTTTGTTTTACTTTCTCTGCTATTACCAAATGCATTTTCTGCACTGTTTTTAACTATTTATTGTCTTGCTTTTAGCTCTTGTTTTTAATGATCTGTTGTTTTTAATGTATTTCTCTTGTAAAGCACATTGAATTGCCTTGTGTATGAATGGTGTTATATAAATAAAATTGCCTTGCCTTGCCTTGCCTTACCAAGCATGCTGGTATTGTAACTGGTATAAAGTTAACAGTCTGGTAGGTATTTTGGTAGATACACATTTAGGGGTCGTATACATGCAGCGTCCTTAACCGCCTGGAAAACGCAAGGTTGTGCGCTGTGTGTAACTCTCATGCCTACTCTGTGCCAACTTTCAATAGCGCAGGAGCAGGTTGCGTCTATAGCTGCTAAGCAACCATAAAAAGCACGAGCCTACTTACATGAAATTCTGAGTGCAGAGCTCATCTTCTTCCAGGCTCTGTTTTTGAAGTGAGTAGGCGTGTGCAGGGGCGGACTAGGAAACAGATTCAGCCCAGGACATTCATCCTCTGGGATAAAGCCAGTCTCATCCTCCTCCTCATCATGACTGGGGTTAGTCCGTCCCTCAGCTTCATTTTCCTTGGAACTGGGAGCACCACCTAACATTAATTGCATGCATCCACTGGATAAAAGGAAGCACATATTTTCTTTTAGTGCAGGTTTAAATTATAATGACTTAATGCAATACCTAGTAGGCCAGTTGGC